CGAAAGCCCATTCTTCCCTATACACACTAGTAATGAGTCTAATTTTGCCTCCTACAGAAGTCTGAATCACTTTGACGACGCAGCACTCACATGACAAAGTTTTTAAGGGAAATTTTTATGTCCTACGTTTTTGCAAAATGTTCCTTGGATCGTTTTGTATTTGGCAAAAGGTCAGAGAGCATTTTTCTAAGTACTTATTTCCCGTCAAATAAATTATGCACTGTTTATTTTACTAATGGAAAGTGTGCTAGTTTCTAATCATAACAATGTTCTCTACCGCAGCAAAGCACGCTACAAAATAACAACTGAAGGACGAGTCCTTGTATAGTTGGCATAAAAACGTCTTGTATTCCAAGGAAAAAGAAGTAAGTTGAACGAATATTTATTCATTGGTTACCCCGATTTCTTTTAATGAGAATTCACCGAATGATCAAAGCGAGTACCAAATCCTCTTATAGCTACTCAATGGAACTCTTTGTTGCTACAGGCGATTAAAGATGTGTTGAAACCAACTATTCTTATATATACCGCGTAATCCAGCGATCACAGTAGCAATTGCCAGAAACTTGGATTAATATATCCGGTGAACTGACTGATTACTGGGACCTGTTTAGTTGTATTTATTCACCCGTTAACGTTAAAAAAAGATGGCCGCACAGCTCCAGTTAGCGTAGGATGGTGTTTTTCTTCCCACCAAGGGACTGCGAAACGACAACAAATCAGTTGCTTGTTTATAGAGGTTGATTCTAGGCGTGCTTTCGGGATTCAGCTACTGTAAGTTGTTAGCTGGTTAATTATGACTCCCTTTGTAATGATCAAAAAGGAATAACATAAAAAGGAACAGAAATTCAAAGTGTCTGAGTATTTTCAGTTTGTTGCCCGTTGCGTCATTATGTTGCTCCTCTATGAAGAACTTATTGTATCGGGCGTATATTAATCGATCGAGTTCGAATCACCTGTCGACAGCTGGATATAATCAGTTCTTTAGTTGTCGAATGAACAACAGGAAAAATCATTGATCAAAATTCATCTCGACTTATAACTGATCACTGCACAAATTGAATTTTGCTTGTACGTGAACTATTTTGCATTTTTGAAGTGAAGTAATAAATCAATCGAGTGCGGCAGATTGTTGCTTAAACCAAGATTTGCATTTAAATGTCAAGTAAGATTCTTCATTGACTTAAAATTAGGAGAGTTGGTGATGGCAATACTTTCATGAGTCCCTTAGTTTAATTCAATTTTTGGGCAGATGGGCGATATTTCTGTGACACGATAAGTTCTGAGTTGTACACACTGAAACGGAGCTGAGAGGGAGAGAGAGAGAAGGGAGAGAAATAGAGTGAGTGAAAAATACGGGAAGGAAACAGAGAGAAAGGAAACGTGAAAGAAAGTAAAACGAAATATTAAGAACTTAAAGAATGTGAAGAGAGAACCTTGTTTTGCGAGTAATGGATGTACTTTTCCTTACAAACAACTGCTTAGAAACCATGAAAAAGTCTGCCGTTGGGTGTGTGGCCTATGTTGGGGAACAAAGGATCTCACCTCCTATCTATTTTTTTTCTCGAAATTAAAATGTTCATCTAGCCTGTTAACAGACCTTCCTCTTGGTTATCTAGTTTTATTCTATGGCCGGTTACAATAGTCCGTGAGCTCTGATTGGCTGTTTTCTTGTAATGACCGGGCATTATTAGATGTTTAACTTGATACTGGATATTCTCATAGACATCTATGTTATGGTTAATATCCCTTATGCATGTTTTACGCCACCCAAGCAAATTTCACCACCAAGACTCGTTATGAAATTAAAAATTAGCGAGTCCCGTGGAGAGTTTCACAGAAATGAATTCCCAATGCAGTAGAGTTGAAAAGAACACCCACGCACAAAAAGTGCAAATGCAAAAAAATTAGTTCACAAACGAGGCTGGGTCATAAACACCTTACGAGCGGCTTCTACGAAGGTCTACAATACTCACTCGGCACCAGGCTTGGTGGTGAAATCTACTCGTCTGACGTAATCGTGCATAAGGGCTATTGACAGCTATGAAAAACTGCATCCGCTGACCAGTACACCTGACTGTTTTGCGGGCTCAAGCGTACAACTCATTAAAGTGACGTGTTTTTGAAAGTTATCCGCTGATCAGTTGTTGGTTTTAATTGATCCCATGGCTCAGGTCCGTAATGAAATGGCCATATAATAAAAAACTTATTAACCTCGTCCGTTCGGTCATGATGTATTGTGATGACCTCACTCTCGGTAAATAAGTAGTATATAAGGCTAAAAAAAGGGATCAGGCAAGGAGGAATAGGACTCTCCAGGTGTCGGTTACCCGATCGGGTCCTACGCCTCTTCTCCCGCCTTTACTATCCCATTCCTTCCCACCCTTTTCCTTGTGTTTTCTCTCTTCGTTGTTCTTGCCTTATCTTTCACACAAGAGCTTACTTTGCAGGACCAATTCTCAGCTGAATTCTGAGCTGCAGTCATTACTTAGAGCTTTTTCCCACACATAAAACGCTTTTGTACAGTTATGAGGAAGATATCACTCAAAATTTCATCGGGGAGCGCTTTATATTCCTGCAATAATCAGCACAAAATATATGGTAGCATTGAAAAGCAAGTTATTCAAGTTGTAGTCTATGTCCATCCTTGGCATCCTTTGCAACAGACGACAGGAAACAGTTCAAGGTCTAAATATAGTCTTGAATAACAAATTTGGACCATAATGATTATTTTTAGTTAATTGATTCGAGCAATACCGCGACATACCATCTTTATTATTAGACAGGTTAAGCATCACGCTTACGTCTCAGACGGCAAACACGAATTTGTACCATGTGGCCAAGTTTCCCCTTAAGATTTCGTTTACTGTTCATTATTTCAACAAATAAATTAGTAGTTTCACGCAATTTTTTACCCATAAGAATTGTCTTGAGCTGTTTTTATCTGCTCATTTTCTATTTTGAGAAATTCTCAACTTGAATCTGACGTTTGCCGTATAAGTGATGCTTAAACTATCTATTAACTGTTCCTATGGCTTCTCACGCGTATGAAAAATCTGATTTTTAGGGAGTAAGTCTGCCTGGTCCCCGGGGGGGGGTACTCGATATATCCCTGGGTGGGGAGGTGCGGCGCGGCCCCTCATACCCTGACCCTGTTTAAGACAAATATCGCTGATTTTCCTACCCTGTTTAAGACAGAATTCCGATTTTTGATACCCTGTTTAAGACATTTATCCTGTTTAAGACAAAAATTGATAAATCGATACCCTGATTAAGACAAAAAATGATAAATTCGATACCCTGTTTAAGACAAAAATCGCGAAAAACATACCCTGGCTGGCCGCACGTCCCCATTAAGCCCTTATAAGGGAGTACCCCCCCCGGGGGGCCTGGTCACAGTTTACACAGTAGAATCGCTCTTGCGCTCACAATGCAAGCTCTGTGTGGCAGCTAAGGCTTGAAGAAATGCTACGCAGGGAAAAAATGTGAAGCATGTCACGCGAGTTTATGAGATATAGACTGGATTCATACCCGGGGGCTGAATGCTCCCATATAAAAAAAGTGACGGGTATACCCGTCGGAAAATTAAAATTAAAGCCCCAAGGGAGACTAATTTAGGTGTAGTCTCCTTCGCAGCCCTTATAAGGGTCGTCACGCAATGCTCCTACCTACTAACGGCCGTTAGTGGAGAGGAGCGTTGCGTTACGACCCTTATAGCGGCTGCGAAGGAGACTAATTTAGGTGTGGCTGCAGCTTAAACTGACCCTAAAGGAGATTTCTGTGCGGTCAGTGTCACGACATTTTTTCGTAAATTTCCTTATGCACAGCCCTAAGTGATATCTGAATGAGCAAAATATAGAGACAAACGCCCTGAGTGAGAACAAAATCTGCAATTTACCCCCCTTAGCAAGACGACGAGTATCCCCGTCACTTTTTTATGGGAGTCCCTTTGGGGTTCATACGGGGTTCGTTATTGAATATTCCTTTTGAGATCGAAAACTAGAATGAGTGTTTTCGTAGGTTTGGTATTACATTCCTAATCTAACACAGCTTTTTATAATGATTCGTAATTGGGTCATTTCTTTGTGTGTGTTACTCTAAAATTTTACTTAGCCAGTCATTAGTTAATACTCTTTTTTCTTTTTGATAAGAATATATTTTATAAAAATATACAGGCTGAAATTTTGCGAAATTTTAAGAATATTTTAAGAATAAACCCGAGGCTGAGAGATTTTGAGAAGGGTATAATTTTGGGCGTTGAAAATTTGTAAATACAATGCAATCACTGGCAATGTATATGGTTTTAACTTAACAGTAAAAAAATACTTGTTCCTTTCTCTGAACGGCAAAAGAAGCCAACTATACGAAAAACCCTGCAGAACTGTTTTGTGATAACCCCATAAATTCTTAAACGGGGAATCATACAAGAGTATTTTTATCCTAAAATCGGCAGAAAAATAACAATGTTCAGCCTAGGCCGAAAAACAACATTCTGAAAAGGAAAAGAGATTACTGCGCTTCGATGAAAAAAAAAGGGCAACCCGTGATGTACAAATTTTAAAGCGCAATAAACCCGTTTGAAGTTGATCACTTGTTTAGACCCACCCCCGCCTCGCTAACAATTCTAACTGAAATAACGTCAAGCTAAGTGACCAACTCGCCAATGAACGAGTTTTGAACATGTCCTTTGAATTTTGGGGGGGCTGAACCTTTCAAAATTGTGTTGATAATATCATAGTAATCTTCAACTGTGTCGCGATAAAAATCGGCGCGATGTTTATCGCTGTGCGAGTGCGGTACCTCAGAGAGAGCGATTTGCTCGTTGTGGACATTTCTAATTACGTTAATAAATTCGCACCTGGTTTTAGCTGCACGTGATTGGCTGTAGACTGTCTAAGTATTTTCTAATTCACATCAAATATTTGCGTATACACGAACAGAAAAATTCTAGCGGATTGGATTACAGTCAACAATGGCTCATTTTACATTTTGACGCACCGCTCAATTGCTTGGTGGAAAATTCTACTCACGCTAATCCGTGCGATCGACACTTTCGTTATCGATGCATGTTCTCTTTATGTAATTCATTTTCGCCACATCAGCTATTCGGCATCTGATCTGACCTCCAGACTAGCAGTGGAAAGGCTGAGCGATATTGGTCGGCCGTGTATGAGGCTTCCGCTGTCTATGTGACATTTAGACCACCACTCAATATGTGGCCACGAATGCTTCAGAATCTCTCTGCTGGATCTTTTCATTTGCGTCGATGCTCGAAGTCTCATTAAACCGCTCTCCTTGTTTATTTACACACTGTATCCAAGAACGCAAGGAAAGAGAAGTGTAGGGAGGGAAAACACGTTGGATAAAGGAACAATTTGAGAACAATAGGTTATCTTTGTGTTGTAATCGGTAACTTGACAGACAGTAATTGTCGAAATGATTGGCGTGTGCACTGCCTTTGAGTAGCGAGCAAGATGTGCTCTTGTCTGCGATCGAGAAGTGCAAACCTGGGGGACAAGACGTTTTATTTTAGCTCTAACAGTTGACTCAAGAACTCTTTGCAGGCGACCGAGTGAGTATTAACGCTATTTGCTTGATACGGATTTCCGTGCTGCAGGCGGTACTGTGTGAGGAGTCGGCTAAATAATACATAAAGCGCAGCTCGAATTTGTACTCGAGCGCCGGCGCTTTGTATGTATCAGTTGCCCGATACTCTCTCGAGGATCGCTTGAAGTTGCTCAGCTGTGCAGGTGAAAGTGTGTTCCAACCGAGCGAGAGTGCTTAGCATGACTAAATACAAGTCAGAATTTCATCAGGACATTTTTCATGTGTATATGTGAGAGGTTTTCGAAAGTGCCATGAAGTCATGTACTTATGATTGATGGCATTCCTTGATTACCGACCAAGCACTTGTTGTTAATGTTACAAATATGCAATATATCGGAGTTAAGCTTCTCTAATTTACAACGATAACATTTGCTTTGAAGTTGCAATGTATTTTTTTCTCATTCCTTGTCTTACGGCTTCGGCATTCAGACACCGTGGAGGTTTGCATTTCCATGCAATCTGTGACCTATTAGGCCATGTTGAAAGCATGGGTTAACTTGATTTATTACACTGGCCTCCGTCCTGTCATTGAATTACATCTTAAATACTTTGTATTTGTCAGAATTTCCTCATTCTGGAGGCTAAAGTTATTGTGTACATGTTGGCCAACCGAAAGCGGAACAAACCTTAAAACTAGTAGCAAGGAAAATGGTTTGCATGCAGAAATTGATGGGAACTACAGTTAACTCTCTCTTTCAACGCGAATAATTTTTTCAGGAAACAGGATTAATTTCATCGGCGTTTTGAAAATAGAGTATGAATTCCCTAGCAAAACGGTTTTAGATTTCTTCTCTGTAGAATTTTGAGCCGTATTATTTGAGCAAGCGTATATAATAAAAAAGCTCATGGAGCCTTAATCATTTGTTCAAATACTCAGTTGTAGCTCTGATTTAATTAATAAATTTGAAAAAGGACGGTCGATCTCTTGCTTCCATGAAAAAATGCGACCGCATCCAGGTGGTATAATATGCTAAGCCGTACTATCGATCTGACCTTGCGAAAACAAATGTTAAATTTCTCTTTGGTATGACTTAATTGGCAGGGTTCATTGGACCGAAATGTTACCTATTCTCAGTTGACGAATATGCCCTGCTGCATACGCCCAGCTGTGAGAACGTTCTGTGTCGTCAGTGAAGCGAGCGATATCTCTACTCAGCCATAAAAGTATATTTTAAACCAACTTTGTTTCTTTGTTCTTTATCAGTCAACAGAGTTTCATCTGAGACGGACCGCAGCTTTGCTTGACGGCCGACAGAAACCTCCTTTTTGGAAGAATGTTACTTATCAAGACTGTCTCCCTGGAATTTGTTTTTGTATTCCTTTTTATGGCTGTTCATTGTCAAGGTATGCAATTTTTAAACCACCAACTATATTAAGAGAATTTTATACACGTTGTGACGTTAACCAGTAAGCAGATGCTTTTTTCTAGTGCTCGCCTTTCATTTATTAGTCAGTAAGGTCGATCGACTGATGGCGTGCAAGCTCTACGTTACCTTTTTTCTATGTAATTGCTTCAGCTTTTGTCAAAAGGTAACTTGTACTGAAAAGGGTTACCGTATCGCACAATTAAATCGGAAACACGTAACAGAGACTAATTTCTCTCTGTGGAATTCCGTTAATTAGCGACCAAATGGGAGGACAGATAACATAATTTAATCCACTACTTTTCCCTTCAATTTCTGACTCGTTAGTTGTTGCTGTCAAGCCACGTTGCCATCAAGAAAACACAAAAATGATGATTTATGAAGCTACAAGCATGCAATAAAGTTAACAGTTGTTAGTATTGTCCCAGTCAAGATCATACTTAACTTAACACGGCTGATAAGCATTGCGATAAGAAGTGTTGTACTGTTAAGTACCAGCTATTAAATTTGCAATTTGTTCGGGAGGGAAAAAACATTTAGAAACATCAAGTTGGAGTTCAACTGGAAAACATGCGCGTGAGGATTTATTGAAGATGAAACAGAAGTGGAATCTTCGCTTTGCAATCCAATTTGCACCTTAAACACCCTGGGTGTCGAGGCTGATTGCTAATTGTTTTTGAATCTATTTCATATAGCTCAAAAGTTCAGGGTGGGCGTACCAGTCCATTGTTACTTTAAATAGCCTTCTCTTATACACATTCAGTTAATGGAACTCTTAACCTGAAAACAGATTACTCCATGACTATACAACTAATTGCTACGATTTCATTTCTCTCTTTTTTTGTTATTTTGTAACAGCCAAACGGTTTCTTTCCCTTGACGGTTGACCAAAGAATTATTTCAGTTGATATTCAGTATAAATCAAAAAATTAGTCCTGATAACACAAATTCCACTCATCTGCCCTGAAAAACGCGCACCTTTTGAATTCAAATTCGCCCATAGGTCATTGTTTTGAACTGAGTCTCTTTCTTCCTGTTTTTATAAGACAAAACTTTGGATTCTGTTTACTGCCAAGGTTAATTCTTTATTTCGTCTACCCACGGCTGGGGATGACCGGAGACACTATTTCAAAAATATTGTCTGTGTATGGAATCTTAGTTTCCGTTTTCCCCTTTGTTCCATCAAATGAAACGAAAGAGCCTTCTTTGATTGCTTCCAATATGAAACCATATTCTGAAGTTTGGATTAGATAACTGAGCTGTTTTGAAACTCTTGAAACTGAAAGCCCCTTCGCTATTTTGCGTCACGCTGAGAAGCGGTAACAAACATTTTAACAACGTTGCTTTTCTTATGAAAAATGTATTTTTTTCCAACTTCTTTTTAAAAGTACCAATGCGCATATTTCTGACAGTCTGTTTCATTGATACTGTTTTGGTAGTAAATTAGACAATAATCCCGTTGTCTTCAGGTTGTGTTTCAGTGAGCGTTTGAAGCGCTGACTCTTTGACAGAGCAGATAATCTCTCAGGCGTGTAAACCTTTCGTGGCTTTCAAGTATTTTAATACGCCTCGTGGTTACCTATACTTATTCGCTGCTCTTTAAATCCTAATTCAAGTTTTTATTACTTTCAAGTGACTGCTAAAACTTTGTTACCGACATCGCATTTTTTTTTTTTGACGTGGAGGCCAGCTCGACCCATTTGCTTGTACCTCCTTGTACCAATTGTCTCAGTATCCCACTGTTTGTGCTTTGAGACAGAGTTCCGTTGTATGAGATCCGACAAAACATTCATTAGATTTATTCTCTGTAAAAAGTTGGTCGAAGAGTTCAAACCATTAAAATTGGCTTAGCGTTCTCATGACTGATGCTTCTTTTTATGGTATTGCTATAAGTAACAGAAATAACATCACTGTACCGTCACTCAAACAACTACAGTTGATGATCACTGAGTGAATACTTCTTCTATTGTGATTCGATATGATTGCTTAAATAAAAGCTGTAGATCAATTACCTCCCTGCCCCCAACTTTGCTGCTGCCCTAAGGTCATTGTGGAAAGCAATTATGTCTAAATGCTTTTATCTTTCACAACTCTTAATTAAATTCATTGTTGACCATTTTTGATATTGTTTCCGAGAAATATTCGGAGGCTTTTCTATTTTTTTTTTATCTTTAGAACTCTGAAAATCCATTCGCTACTGAGTTTTGAGGCTTTTTCCCTTGCGATGCATGTGCTAATTGGCGCTTCACTATTGACATGGGCAACGTTTCAAATCCCAATGAAGCAGACAGATGAAAACTGAATCATTTAGGATATTGCTCTCTAAGCATAGAGTAGCTTCTCGTGCCTTCTAAAAAACGATTGTCGGCCAAGTTTTCCCATTCCCAGTTCCGTTTGTCTGGGGCAGGGTCGGCTTAATAATACAGGTTTCTTTTCGAAAAAGTGAAAAACTCTTAGATCTGAGAGATCGTTTTGTAATACGTGGAACTCTAAAAGAAAGATATCAAATGATTCTATGAAGGAGAGAACAACACGTGATCGGTTTTTGATAATTTTTTTGACAACAGAGGAGTTCAATTCCTTTTTCAAATAGCAATCCTCATTTATATCTTAAATGTCAAGAGCCAAAGACGGTTATAGTTGAAGTGCAGGGTAAGTTTAAATAAATCTGGGCCATTATTTCGAGTTCTTCTTCGATACGAATGTGTTGTTAGTGTTTCAAACTGAGACCATAAAATCGTGATAGCTCCTTCAAAACTAACTCGTTTCTGTTTCGCTTGTCTGTATTAAAAAGTACTTAGGGAATTGAAGATTCCAAGACGGCGACGGCCGCGAAGACGTCGCTTAAATAGTGAATTTGCGTTCTTTCAATCTCTATCCCGATTACTCCAACTCATTACCTTTGTCAAATGCAAGCGAACTCTTTTTGAGCCGAATTTCTAAGAACCATATTCAAGTTCAGAAAGATAAAGAAAATTTAGTCGTTGCTTGTTTACGTCCTCCATAAAAAGTGAAATTAGGCATTTTACACGTCCTAGTCTTGCAGTGACGGTAATGAAATTTACAAAAAAGCGTGATGCACGTTCAGAGTTTCTTGTTTGCTGATTCAACCTATTACTTTTTTGAAGTTCTCGTTGTGGTCGCTTCACGCGCGTTGTGGCATCTTCAAGTTAAAGTCCCTATCGATAAAGGTAGTGCTACGACACTCATTCGCATTATCTGCCCTTAATTTCAGATCCTCCGGTAATAATTGGGACAATAAAGCCTGAATACACCGTTAGAGAGGGAAGAACAGTCAAGCTATGGTGCAAGGTTTCCGGTACAAAAGGGTCTTTGGTTAACAGAACACTTACAGCTTGGAAAAAACCAACAAATGTCGTAATCACTGAAAAATTCCCGAGATTCAAGATGAAGATGGGAAGATTCCTGAAAATCACGAGGGTGAAGCTTGCAGACCAGGGAACGTACTATTGCATAGCTTACAATCCTTACGGGAAAATAAGACGACAAATAAGGCTTGTAGTTCAAGGTAAGCAATTTCACAAAGGACTATTGATTTACTGTAGCAGGGCACATAAGTACAGTCGAACCTCCACTAACGGGGCCACCTCTACACAACGGCCACTTTCTTCTGTCCCCAAAGTAGCCCTTGTGGATAGGTTCGACTGTATTCTAATCTGAATCAAGCAAGGACAAACTCCCTTTTATACGTCTATTTCCCTGTAAAGATAGAGGAAAAAATAAACAGGGAAAGTGTGTGTGTTAAGTTTAGTTGATAGCTTAGCAGGACACCCCAAGAGTTTGCGGCAATGCCTGTGGGCCTGAGCAGTTAGCAGAAGAGAAGTTTTACATTCTAAGACGAGCATGACCACGAGGACGAGATTTTCCCTATATTGAGTAGTGCACGCGTGAAGCCGCGTCATTTTGGCGGGAAAATGCGATTGCTGTAGTCATTCTAATACGAGCTTTAGTTACTTAGTGACCCAAACAAGTTCAGCTTATCAAATGTTTGAATTTTTGTTGTTTTTTTGGCGATCGGAAGAGGGCTTAAACACCTTCAGTAAAAATGACCGTGTTAACCTTCCTGGTAAAAAAGGTAAAAGGAAACTTTCCGGGCTGTCTATTTTTTGGAATACGCGAAAAAAAACTTGAACTTTTAGTAAGTCAAATCTGATCCTCGTAGTCATCCTCGTCCTAACTAGTGCCTTCCCAACGGAACTGGAGAAAGGCAAACAACTTCACTGGGGTCTATGTACCCTGCTTTTTTCATAAGGGTATTCTCACGCCCCCTTGGAATTGATAAGGAAGGATAAAGGACATAAGGCCAACAGCTTAACGTTACCAGGCAATGAAGTGAATCAATAGATTGGAAGAGCTTTTGGACCCCAAATCCCCTCAAATTCACGGCACGATACCAAAAATATAGAATTTTCGTTGTTTCGCGGGAAATATAGGGACAAGACACTTAGAAATTGCTTGGGCATTTCTCTAGATTTTAAGTATAAAACGCTTAAAGACGGTGTTTCAGAGTTGACTCCAGTTAATTTTATTGCAATATCATTCAAATTCGTCGAATGATCTTCGACCCCTCTTCGTGAAAGTGATCTGCGCGATGCGACCTTAAACTTTAACCAGGTGGATACATCGACCCTCATCCTAATTAGCTTAGTGGCTTGAATTTCCTGACACTGACCTTCTCAAGCCGCCCTGGTCATCTCAAGATAAGAGCTGTATGCAACAAACCCTAAAGCTACTTAACTTCTTGTGGCTAATTTGATTTATTCACAGCTTCAAACAGCAGAGTTCCGACACAAACGACAATCTCAACTACAGGTAAAAACCAGATACAAAGGATACTTATACCATTTACATGGAAAAACCGGAATTTCAGGTTTTTCCATGTAATGTTCGCGCCATTCGGTTTGAATTTGGGCTGTGACTTGAGGCGATACAATTTTTGTGCTCTTTTCAGTTTGTTCAGCTGATTTGGCTATACTTTGCCGCGGGTTTTTCTACCTCTACGTCAAATTTTACAATTTTATGTGTATGCACCGGGGTTGTGTGTGTAAGCAGTAAGTACCCAAGGACTATTTTTTGGGTAGTAAAAATCACAGTACATCCGTGAATCTTTCCCTTGTTATTCTTCGCACCTGCCACTGTTTTCCGTTTAATTCTTACACACACTGTCTCCATCTCTATATAGTTTCTTTAAGAATAGAGCCCTATTTAACCCAGTTTAACTAAAATGCAGAAGGAAACGTACAAAAAGACGTAACTTTGCAGCAGTTAATTGTCTGTTAGGGAAAAGATTAAAAATTTTACTACATTTTACTTTTCTTAATTACGAATTCAAACATTTAGCTGTGTCCTTTTTTTTCCGACAGGTTTGAGCCCAAGCCCAAGGTTTGCTAGCAGAAGTACCGAGACACCACCAAAGCCTTCAAAATTGCCATTAATAGGTTTGTTGCCGGATTCCATTCCTTTAATCCTGAATATTACTTAATATCTGTCATATTCAATTTAGGTCTTTTCCCCATAGACCTTTCCGCGCATTCGTGTGAGCAAAGGCACCATCTCGAGGCTTGGGATGACAGGTACAGTTTTTTTTAGGAAATTTTTTTCATTCAAGATTCGACCTTGCCTGTCTACCTTTCATTCTTTTCGAGTAATTTAGGGAGTGCGGAGCAATAGAACGCTTATTAACCCACCCTCACTCTCTTGTGCTGGTGGCCAATAATTCCCAGGCGGTTTTTATTTTCATACCCGTGCTCAACGATCTCTAAACGGAAAATAGAAGGTCTGCGAACAGGCTATCTTCGACCTCTTTTCACAGTGTGGCTCGCTCGAGTGGAATGCGGGAAAGGTCCATACCTGTTTAATTTCATCGTAAGTAATCGTCTTCGGACGCGCGGTGGGGTAACATACTTCGATCAGATATTAAATTGTAAGCCCTTGAACATGTTATGGTGCCCAAGTGTTATGTGTTGTTTCCCTGGTTTAGAAATTCCGTTCTCTTCACCCAGTTTATTATTATTATTATTATTATTATTATTATTATTATTATTATTATTATTATTATTATTATTATTATTATTATTATTATTATTATTGTCTCTATTATCTTTGCTGGTGTTCTTTTTGTGCATCAGCCGGGCGCAAACCATGCACCTAGAGCGTCAGTCACTCAAGTCAATCATTCTGTTCATACACTGAGCACCTTTCTGAGGATTCGTGCAGATCCCAGCATGCAGATCTTTTGAATCTCTGTCATATTAGCTCTTTCTGATACTTTCTTGATGTTTTCTACCATACCCTTCTTCACTGTACCAAGCGCACCAACAACCACAGGGATCACTACGGTTTTCATATGCCACATTCTCTGTATTTCTAGTTCTAGGTCTTTGTACTTGTCGATACTTGCATTTTTTTTCAGTTTCCTTCAGTGCGATGTTTCTATCTGATGGAACAGTCATATCAATAAGTTTGCGGGTGGAATTCACTTAATCTTTAACGATGATATCTGGTCTGTTCGCTGTTATAGTTCTATCAGTATTGACTGGCATGTCCCACATGATGGTGATGTTGTTATCTTTATTGTGTATCACGGTCTCTGGTTCGTGTTCGTACCATTTGTCTGTAATCTCTTGTTCGTACCATTTGTCTGTAATTATCATTATTATTATTATTATTATTATTATTATGATCGTCATCATCATATATTGTACTCATGTATGTTGTTTGCTAAAGGCGTACAATTCACTTTTGAACTCTGCGCATCCTCGGGTACAGGGCTGGCAGATAACTGACCTAGTCTGTAAGTTGCGCCCGTAATGCATGATTTCCAAGCATAATTCCGTGCGACGGTGTTTGTGTCGATATTTTCTTCAAAACAAAGCATAATCAAACAATTTTTAGATTCGGTTTTTCGTGATATCCAGAATGATCTCGCTTAGTTTATCAGCACTTGCATTTTGGCCTCGGCAAAAAACACCAACCTCGACCTTGATTGTTGCGGATATCACAAAACCCTCATCCAATAGTTGTTTTAAACTGGTAATGAACAGAAGGTGTACGATTTGGAAGAACTGTAGTGCTGCTGCTTAAATGACTAGAAAAACCTTTAAGCCTTGACCTTACGGACTCTCAATGACTCCTGTTTATTTCCGTTTGTCATTTTAAGAAATTGAAATCCTGCTTAGCCCGAAATTGTCATCATTCTCAATTTAATCGAGTGCCTAGAAGTCTTCGGGCTCCTTAGTTAGCGTTAGGACTCCGGAAATAATGGGCAAAATGTGCCTTTTTAAACTGGCTCTTGAGATGAAAGTATAAGCCGTGCATGATTAGTAATGGAAACGAGAACCACCCAATCCAGCAGTAACATTCCAGTTCTTTAAGTGACACCGACAACCTGAGAGCTCTGCGTACGAGATTGGCCGGTTAATTTACGTTCTATACCAGTTTCTCTTTTTAATGTTAAAACCGGTTTCAGTTTTTAGTGTGTATTTGTCAGACCCTGTTCTTGAATGTATTACCCAATGAAACAGAAAGACCACTACTGCAACCCTTGACGCAACGTGTGATTCCACAAAACATCCATACCAAGCTAGGCCTGAGATATGGAAGGTCATTCAGGCCCGTAGCCAGAAAAATTTTCCATCCGGGGCACTCTGTGCTAGAATCGAATTTTACAATCGAATTTGTGGTTCTGACAATAGCCAACAATGCGCTGTCAATCAAATATTTGACATGTAAATTATCTTTTTTAATCGGATTGTAATGGAGGCAGCGATTACTTTCAGGGTCGTTATTTCGAGGGAAAAAAATGCTGATCTGACGCTGCATTTTCGAAGCGAACCGAATAGAAGTGAATCGAAGCGACTGCCACGTGCAACTCCTGAGAATTGAGTTTGTTTCACTTGGAGAAAACCACTAGCACTATATCATGCGGGCTCTAAAATTGTAGTATAGCTTTTTCGTGGAATTCAAAACGTAGAATTCATTTCAATAGATTCATTTACCTTTTTTGTTATTATTGTGGCTGCTTGCTACTAAATCTACTAAATACATAGGCGAAAAAAAAAAAAGTATGGATATTTTCTGGAGCAATCCATTGAAACATTTTTACGTTACAGAAAATAAACCAAAACACTTTCTTTGTGAAAGGAGAAACTCGTGTTAGTCTAAACACAAAGGAAAGCATAAGGTTACACCTCCGTTTTCAAGGGCGGGAAGCATATGCTTGTGTTAAGGGCGACCGCGCACGAGCACCGGGCGCGGTCTGACGACGGCAAAAGCGCGTTGTAACGTAGACGTCGCAAGGGAACAAAAACACAGCACTAGTCACGAAACGTCTCTTTAATCGCCACACTGGATTCCCGTGTTTTTTTTTAAATGTTTTTGCGCCATCTTAAGAAGCGTCAAAATTTGATCATCTTGCGCCTTGGTGTTACGCTTTTGTAAGTGTAAAATCCGTGTACTTTTGCTTGTGCTGGCTTGGTACATGTAAACCAGGTCAAGCATGCTCTCATTACATGGAATTTCCATCCACGCGCGTTTCATCATCTTTTGATAGGAACTCGAAACAGATGTTTTGCATCCATAACTAAGGCACTAAAATGCACCTTTTTCTTCGAGGCCTGATTATCACTAAGTGCAGTTTAACTTTTCAGCCGGCCGTCCACCAACGTTCAGAAACCCTAAGAATCGTTCTTCTGAATATGCTGCTGGTTCGCCGATCAGGCTTAAATGCCATGCAGATGGAGAAGCTCCTCTTAACATCACGTGGCAAAAGGATGGCAAGAGACTGGACAGAAGTTATCGAAAGTTCATAAAGCGCGATGGCTGGGTCTTACATTTTCGCCACCTGTCTTCTAAGAACGCTGGAACCTACTCTTGCTTGGTGAAAAATACATTTGGTAGCAGCGTAAAGACTTTCGATATCAAAGTTGTTGGTAAGATTTTTAGCCTTTTTGTCCATTCTTTCCTCATTCACCACTAAACGGTAATGCACGCATTTTTACTTTGAAGAAGCTTAGCGTGTATCATTTGGGTCAAACAAACTTGTCTTTCAAGCCAACTCTTCTGGGCTTTGAATAGTTGCTTTCCAAGTCCTCTTCAGTTAGTGATACCTACCCGCTAGTGTCTCGTAGTAAACATCAATCCATCTAGTTATGTAGTACATGGGGTTTTTGCTAACTGAATAAGAGCAAACAAGCCCCCCAAGAAAAAGACGGTGCCAAGGTTATTTTGACTTAAGAAGATATACCTGATTGTAAACACCAAGGTTTTTTTTTTAAACAATTGTGGTAGTTTGGAACAAAGCAGTTGTTGTGCGCTATGTTTGCTTACAGTCTCGTTGTCCCTCCAAACCATCCTTCCAAACCGTATGGTCGCAAATCATTCATGCAATCCTAGACAAAAGTCCTTTGGACAGTAATGCATTATTCAAAATTTTCTGTCATTTTTGGGTGTCCTCAGCAAACAGTGCGTCCTTTTCGAAATTTTCTTGCAGTTCTCCCTCCCCCCACCCTACACTATTTAGAAACTTAAAAAATTGGTTGATACAGTCCAGCGTTATTTGTGGGGTGGGAGAACGGGTTAGGCATGTGTGAATTGAAAAAAGCCCCACAAGTGCAGAAGTGTCCCAAGACTTTTGTCCATAACCGTAGATTACCATTCGTTTGGAACATAGCGATTTGCCTTTGAGGGTGAAAGGGTTGAAGGGGTAATTTTGTTTTGCCTTCTTGAACATGATTGTGGCGAAAATTTGTTGAGCTGACCTGGTCTTGCTTATTTATCCGATGTTTTCTATCGCAGATCGTGTTGGAGACTCCAACCGTTTTCCACCAGCAGCCAAACCTGTCATTCTAGAAGGAGTTTTAAAGAATCAAACGGTGGCGATTGGTGGAAACGTCACATTTGTGTGTTCGGCCCGTGGCAGAAGCTATCCAAAGTTTCACCTTCTGAAATGGAAATCACCTAAAGCCGATTCAAGTAATTCGGATCCGTTTGAATTTGTTGACTTTCGAAATCCAAAGTATGAAGAGATTCGCAAGGCGCCCAAGCCACACCTTGGCAACCGTCAAGTTTATACTCATTACTTTCTAATTCGCAACGTAACACTAGCAGATGAGGCCAAGTACACATGTGTGGTGGGTAATTCCGCTGGATGGGTTTCCGCACACGCAATGCTCAGTGTGCGACAAGGTAAGCTCGGTGTTTAAATCCTTACAAAGCGCCATCGTCATAAGTGCAAACATTTTAACAGTGTCTCAGTGACTACAACTTAAAACTCCAGGCCCCAGTCGTTCAAAAGCTGGATAGCGCTATCCATCGGATAAATCACTATCCAGTGGATAAGTATTAGGGAAACCAATTGCACTATCTACTGGATAGAGATTTATCCGCTGGATAGCGCTATCCGTCTTTTGAACAACTGGGGTCAGTACTGTAAGCGTACATTAATTTGAAGTCAGCCAAACAGATGTACTACAGTATTGCAGAAAATGCTGTAGAAATGAAACAGTTGCTTCCTTTTGGCAATTGAACCAATAAGTCATCAGTCTTCAGTTTTGTAAGTATGGTCAAAGAGTTGGAATGTGGTAAAAGCTGGGCAAAAAACCCTCCACTTGACTTAGACGTTATTGTTTTCTTTGAACAAAGGTCCTCCTAATTCAGTCAAGAGCCTGCTCTCACAATGTTCCTTTTTTTTTCCCTGTCTTAGATGGAGCATTATTTTTTTTCAAATTCAAAAATGTTTTTCTGGTCAACATGGTTTTTAGCCTGTCGTCAATGTTTGGTTACGGACGATGACTTTTTTTTAGGGTCGCTGTGTTTTTGCTTCTATTTTTGTTTAATTGTTTACATTATTGTTTCTTCAAGAACTTGATCATCTTGAGTCTCACTTAAGGCAATCGAAAGCTCTTACTATTTGTATGGAAAACCCCGTAATTCCGGTGAGAATAATAATTGAACGGTTCCGCATCCTGGTGAAAATTTTTCGAAAAATAGGAGCGCTTACGATGTGTATCGAAAACGGAAAAATTCATCCCGATAGAATGTTTTCGGGGAAACGGCACCTTAACGCCCTTTTACCGGAATTCCCGTAAATCTCTGTGCGATTTGTACATAATTACCAGTACTAGGCTATGTCCGAGAGGACAGTTATGCCGGCGCAAGATGGCAGAATCAAGTAATGGTACTATGCCAAGCCGTTTATGACGTTTTATTCTCGTCGCCATGGTTAAAAAACTTCCTACAACACAACTGTAGCTATAGCATTCTAGCTGAAAGAGATTGAAGTTATGGTGGTCGGTACTTCTGTTTTACTTATGCTTTCATGAATCGTGCTAGGGGCTATGTCACAAGGATATTGCTTTCTTAGGTAAATTCTGCGCTGTTGTTAGTCACTGCCTCTAATATAATAATATAATATAATATTTAAGGATTTGTATTGCGCAAATGTCAGTTCAGGGAAATAAATTTTTGTCTGCGCATTACATTGACTCAACAAAATCCTAAACTCCTAGTACATATTCCAATTAAAAAAAATTCTAAAAACAATGACTAATTATTCTTTTAAAATCCTATTTACAAATCCTCCTTAAAAAAAAAAGAATAAAAATAATAAGTTAGCTGGGAGACGCCTTCTTAAATAAATGAGTTTTAAGAGCCTCCTTGAAAGCATTAACTGAAGATATATTTCTCATAAAAAGGGGAAGATCGTTCCATAATTTAGGGGCAGCCATTTTAAAAGATCGATCACCAAGCGTGGAAAGAGACTTACATGATGGAATTTTACCCATACACAAAATGCTCCTGTAGAGTGAAGAAGAAGAAGTTAAGAAGTAAATTCCATCAGGAAGCACAGACCATAATAACATTTTTGAGCACTTTTGCAGACATAGCAATAAAACTCGAAAGCGTGATCCCAACTTTTTCAAGTTTCAATCCATGTCCATCCTTTTCATCCTTTGCAGCAGACGACAGGAATCTGTTTCAATGTCTAAATACAGTCTTAAATAACAAAACTAGACCATTAATTTTTTATGTTCAATCGACAAGAAAAAGTCATAGCTTTTAAAAGATTGCAAGTAGCGTGAAATAATTGGTCCCTTTAATGAAGCGAGAAAAACCTGTATCCGAAACTTCGGATCAGATGAAATGACTTGGTGACAAAAAGTGAAGTTCCATTTGTCCAAAAAAAGCCATTGAAATTCCATTCAATTGGTAAGCGGTCAAGGTAATATAATACCTTCCAAGGTCATGATAACATCTATTACTTTGGATCAATTTAAGTTTTTGGGAAACTGACCAGCTACCTCTCCCCTATGCTAACATTAACACTTACTTCTCACTTAGGGCAAATGTTGGCTTAGGGGAGGGTTAGATGGGCAGTTTCCCAGAAACCTAAAGTGATCCATTACTTTTTTCCTGCTTTTACCGAAAAGACCTAAATTTTCTGTTCCATTTGTTTGGATTAACAGTGCCAGGCTTCCTCTTGAGAGAAAGCGAAAAACTGACCGTTATAATAATAATATACAATATTTATAGAGCGCTAATTCCCAATGGTCCAAAAGCGCTTATTTTGTAAATGGTATATTTCAATCCCATCACTGTTTTCAGTACGAAAAAAAGTTACACCCGTACCACTTGCCTGAAAATGTTCACCGAAATTTCCGTACAAATGGTAAGCGTTCCGAGACATCACACATTCTTCCACAGAAGTCAAAACCCTGAGATCAATTAACGGGCTTTCTAAGGAACATTAATTAGGCCATCTGAAGTTTAGCTGTTTTGTTTGTTTGTTTGTTTTGTTTTGGGCGAATGTTTATGCTAATGTTTTTGTTGCAGTTGAGGAGAATGGTGGCAGCACAGAGCGGAATCGTACAGAACTGACTTGGTTTACCGTAACAAATGCACCGAGTGATGCCAAAGCTCGGATAGAAAAGCTTGATGAAGCAACGGTAGACGAATTTCCTTTGCCTGTTCTTATTGGTATCCCCATTGCGGTTCTTATAGTTTTAATTGGGACAATCGTGTGGTGTTATTTTATGACAAGAAAACACTATTGTACCCCACATCAATTCAAGCAATCTTCACCTCAAAACGAGCCAAATACAGATTTATCTTTACAGTATTACCCATCCAGAAGGAACGAAACTAGAAATGTTAGTTTTAATGTGTATTTTGACTGTCCCAGTGAAACGAGGGGTCAGTCTGAACAGTCGTCGCCGCGGACGGCACAAGACAAGTTAGACTCTCCATTAGAAACAGATCCGCCATTAGACGGGTTAGTAGTACATCAGGAGCTCCCATGGATTCGCTCAAACAGAACTAACCATCGCAAACGCATTGAGAGGGAAGGAATTGAACTTAGTGAGTCGAGTGGATCCGAAACGAAATGTTTGAAGGTGTAAGAAAGGCTCCAGCTATCACATACAATGGAAGCACGGTTCTTGGACAACCAGCTATTTCGACACCCTCTCAGTTATTAGCACCACTCTGTTTGAGTCAGAAACACGTGACCACCACGTTATACCCGGCTAAGCTGCGGTAGCCGTCGTTCTATATACCTTTGAGTGATACAAAGGAACATTACCATCAAAGGCCACACTGTGGTGCGTTGGCTTGTGGACAGTGGAAGTAAGAAATGAGAATACTAAGTGGTAAGCAGTCCCTGGTGAAGGTTTCTCAGAGACCTTTGGCTCAAGTTTTAGAGAGGCTTTCTATCAACTCAGTGTACAAACCGCCAGTTATTGTTTGGTTTAGATATTTAATTTTATAAGGGTTTTCTTCGACTTGCCTATTCCTGATCATAAGTACACGAATAAAGCAGAGAGTCAATAACTGCTTAAATCAATAGCACGTAACAGTCTTGTAGCGCCAAAAAAGTTGCCAGGTAAAAGCCACTCTGGACTAGGTTAGCGTAGTTTTAGTTACATCACTCGTGGTTATCGAGGAATGAGGTTGCATTTCAAATTGATTGAAATAGTCTACTTCCAGGAGATACCGCGTGGCAATATATTTGTCTTTTGCATGCAACATTTTGCTGTTTATTTTAGTAAGCACACATACAATCAAAATACGAGTAAGACAATATCAAATGTTAAACACTTTGTACTTAGTCTCATTAACGCTACTATAGACTTCGAGCTACTACCATGCCGAATTCAAATTAATGGGATCCGGCAGTAGCACGACTATAACACGGTAGTGGTTACAGATGTGGAGGTAATTCATCGGCACAAAATTCACAAAATATCGAAACAACAAGGCTTCCAGTAGGCGGTACTTGCAAGTAAATAACTCGAAATAAATTGAGTTCGGCATGACAAGAGCAAGCCGTTTCAAACCAAGTCGCGCCACTGCCCTGCGATGAGATTGGGCGTTGCCTTGCAAAACAGACGTGCACTCGTTACAAATCTCGTGCTACTGCCATGGTTAAGGCGAATTTAATTCACGACGTTTGCTGTTTTGCCACGTTTTGCGCCGGTATCCCACTTGTCCTTAGCTTGCGGCGCAGACGTTATCTTGCGCCGGTTAGTAACGTCTTAACTTTGTTCCCCTGAAAAGGGTGGGCTTACGGTAGACAGAAGTTTAGTTCCGTATGTGTTTCAGGCATGCAAACAACAACAACACAAGAAGTAACCCTGCAAAACAATAGTGCAACGAGGTAGTCTTCCAGGTGGCTGTTGCTTGGTTAATACATTACTACGCCGCTCCGACCCAATTTACTTAGTATTGTAGCTAAAAAATTATTCTAGAGGTGGCGGCTTCTGTTTTTACATTCCGTGGTACAGATCAAGTTTTGGGTAAACTATACTAGAACTTTATACGCAATGACCTTAAACTGGCGGCTGGATGTTTTCGGGCTTTAGGTCACTTTACTTGTAATCAACCTTGTTTGAATAGTTTTCATGTGTTAGTATGAGAGACCTTTAGATTCTAAGACGAGGGCGTCTACGAGAACGGGATATCTCGATGCTAAGTAGTGCGCGCGTGAACTAGTGTCATTTTGGCGGGAAAAAGCGATAGTCGTCGTCATTCTTTTACGGGTTTTAGTGAGAATGTCGCAGTGGCGGAAACAAGCTGTCAAATGTTAGAAGTTTTATCATTTTGCGCTCGGGTTGAAGGCTTAACCTCCTTCAATAAGAATTACCATGTTTATAGTACTACATGAGAAATTTCTGCAATTTGATTGGCTTAGAGCAGTGGTATTTCAGCTTAATTTGAAATACCTACATGTGAAAATTACAAACCTTTAGCGGGTAGTAGTAAAAAGAAATAATAGCATGATTTGTACGTGGTATTTGGCATAAATATCACTTGTGATATTTCAAAATTGTCTCAGATTTCACTCGGCTAACGGCTCGTGAAATTAGGTGTGACAATTTTGAAATATCACTCGTGGTATTATATCACTACAAATCATGCTATTACCTATACTAACTTATTGGTGAAAAAAAAGTACAATTAAGCTTTCCCGGGAGTCGAGTTTTTTGAGAATACTCGAAAGACGTTTAGTCAAATCCCGGGCGTCGTAGTTGTCTTTGTCCTCGAATCTAAAGATTTTATTGTATATTGTAACTTTAAGGAAAACCAGGCCACGTTAAGTGGATTTCCAATGATACATACTGTACTGTTGGTGACACTGCGCCTTTTAGAAAAAAAAATACTATTATATCTGAGATAATTCTCTTATAATTTCATACCTTTTAGCATCCATGTTCTCTCATTAATAGCATTATCTTCGTTCCAAGTATTGTCTTGACCAAGCTTCATGTGGCAACATATTTTGATCGGAAAATCATTCAGGTAGTCAACAGTCAACATAGTGAGCAGGATAACTCGCTTATTTTACGTTCAATGTACGTAGCTCAATGAAGGTTACTCCCACGTCATTTTCTCCCACTTTAAACTAACGTTAGTTTCAATATTCAGTCATGCGCACCGAAATAGACGGCGTTGGCGCCACCGACCTTACATAAAGTTAAAATACGGTCCGTAATAAGAAATAAATATGACATATTGTTTTGTATAACAGTTGTGTTGTATGATATAATAGGGCCAAGGTTAAGGAACAGTACCCTTTGTAGAGGAGGATGAGTTGAGTGAATAAGAGTTGAATAACCCAGGTCAATGGATTCATGCGCACACACAGGGTTCACACAGTCTTGAAAAGTCCTTGAATTTTAGGGGAAGTCGTTGAAAAGTCCTTGAATTCCATTTTTCCTTGAAAAGTCCTTAAATTTCTGCGCAAGTCCTTGAAAAGTCCTTGAATTTTCTTGAATTTAGTGGCTTGGAAAGTGTTTTCTGATGATTTTTGGTTTGGTTTTACACAAACTGCTCAATGTTTTAAGCAATAATTAACTATCAATTTAAGAGAAGTGAACTGAAACATGTAGAGAAGTTGGTGAAGCAAACAGTTCAAGCCTTAGAGCCTTAAAAGAATAGACTGGAAATGTGCATTTTTGTACAATCTGTGAAATTATATTCTAGTAGGTGGTCCTTGAAAATCCAATGTGGTCCTTGAAAAGTCCTTAAAAAATGGTTGCAATTTTTTGTATGAACCCTAGTCTTTTTAAATCCCTTCTCCATTCCTCTCGCGGCTCCACCTTCCGCATTTTGCACCCTTCAGCCACGAGGCTGCTTGCCTACGCACAGACCAAAGTAAAATTGGGTGGCAAGGGGGAAGCGGTCACCTATTCCATCCAGACCTAACTACCTTGTCTCTGGGTTTAGTAACCTTTGCTTATTTTGGACACTAACAAATCGAAACGCTTATGCACAAAAATGGGGCGCGGTGGAAACTACGCCTGGAGTAGCTGCTGAAGTCAAAATAACATGTGTTCACCTAAAGCCGGTCTCGTCGGTGTTGTTTGCCAAATAGCATCATCATGTTCAGAGTATCTGAACCATATTAATATTATTATTATTATTATTATTATTATTATTATTATTATTATTATTATTATTATTAACGAAAATGCAAAAATATACGCTAGGAAATGTACGTGTGAACTACATCAACGCAAATGCAAACGCAAACGAAAGAAATGAAAAAAAAATTCATGTTCTTGCGCTTGCGTTTGCATTTCATACGTGTAAACCGAGGTAACGCAAAAGTAAATGCAAATGCAAAGATACAAAACAAACAACTTCTTGAAGTTCCATCGGTTCCAGGCCATCACGGGGCAGCAAATTTAAAAAAAAGATGGCGTCTTCCATTCCGGACGAGAAATTGGCAGATCGTGTAAGGAGATATCCAGTGTTATGTGATAAAAGTTGTACACTATTCAAAAATAGACCAAAGAAGACTTTTGCTTGGAAAGATGTAGCAAAAGATGAGGTACTTCTGGGTACGTCTTAATTCCTTAGCCTTTGAGCACTCTGTATAAAAACAGCACGAAAAGTAGACTTATTGCGACCAAAGCTTCACTATGGTCCGCCATCTTGAAAAAAAATTGACTGTGCTTGACTGCGCCTGCATATTTTGCCTTCCTTGCATTTGCGGTCGACGTGTGAACGTCGTTTACGTTTGCATTTGCGTTTGCATTTGCATCGCATGTGTGAACCAGGCTTTAAAGTCGGCCTAAAGGAGATGTGCTACACCAGCCCGCTCTTTCCGAGGTTAACCATCCACCTGGTATCTCCATCAGACATAACTGGCTGAATACTGACCAGAAGTTCTGTTACCTGTGTGGACGACACTAACGTGCAGGCCCTTAATTGCTTGGCCACCGCCTACCAAAGATCATACAATTTGGGGTACTCGCCACTCGAAGGAGTACTGTCGACTGGTCACCGCACACACATCAGCTCCAAGGAAGCGCTACAAAGATACGATAAAGAAGGCACTCAAGGCCTGTAGCATTGTTCTCAAACATCGGACTGCTACGGCTGAAATGCCTGGTGGCGCTTTACCATCCACCAAAAAACTGAATCTGGAACCCATTTGGAATCTGGAATCCACCAACAAGAATTCAGAATCCAGTACGTGAAATCTGGAACCTACATCATGGAATCCAAAATCCAATACTGTCTTGGAACACCTTGTATGAGGCAAACTACACGTCAACAACACCGGAGCAATACCCTAGCAATTTAGCCTTGAGATCGGGGAGCTCCGTCATCCTCTTAAGGGAGAACCTTAGGCTCGATTTCCGCCGTCTCCCGGGTCCGAGCCTAGGGGAACCTGGGAGCGTTTGCGCTTGCCCCGACCAAAACTTGCGGAAGACATTTTGATGTGTACTCATATCAGCTGCTGGGGCAGGCAAACTTTTACGAGGTATTCCAAGAAAGAAGGAACCACTACAAAGTATATCAAAATAGACTGTAGAGACTGAAAAAAGGGAAGAAAAATTCATCGCTTCCTGCGACAGCCCACATGTTCTGAAGCTTTCTAAACGAAATGAAATGAACCCGGCATTCCCTATATCCCCGTGTAAATTGTAAGTACCCTGGGATAAGACCTCTGTTAGTTCGGGACCCAACCTGGAATATGTCTTCATAGTCTTAGACCCTTGGACTTAAGTAGGAAAACAGAGTACAACCTATTGAATGGTACAAAACTGACACAGGTAGCTTAAGTTTTGCAATGAACTACCAAGACCAAATTTGATGTGGCAGAGAAATACATTAACACAGCTCAACTGGATTCCCCATATGTTAAAGATGACGATAGCCCAGAGGCGTACTACGTTTACAAGATCAATGCTGGTCTGACCAACATAGGAAAGCAAGAGCCTTTTAGTTTTTGCCTTACGAAGGCACTTAAAGACTTCCTACTGTCTCGCTGAACTCGTTTTTCTCAAGCGATACGAAAATGTATTTCGAAATCTGATGCGGCCGCGGTCATTTTTAAATATCTTAATTTTATAACTTCATTTGTAATCTATTCGTTCCCTATTATTTTGAAAATCCAAATATTAAAATCACCAGCACAGCACTATTTAACATACAAGCACTTCACCTCACCACATCACAGAGTTAAGAGTGCAGGATAAGCCATATAAAAATAAAAAGACCAAATCAGAGATGGCAAACTGATTCCAACGGCGGGCAAAATGGGACCTTTAAATCGACGAGACATCTACAAAAGCATGAATCACTCAGTCTTTTTCATGAAGCTGCATTAGGACTTCGAGGGCAATTCCACACAGTGATTTTTAGGGAGTTACTTTAACTCCAAAAATAGAGTAAAAATTTTAGATACTGGATAAACCCGTTTTTGGAGCTACTTTAACTCCACAGTATTAACTCCAGATCTGGGTGATTTTTACTCCTGAAAAAGAGTTCTTTAAACTCCTTTTTGGAGCTAAAATAACTCCCCAAAAAATAAATCCATTGTAAGGAGTTAAATTAACCCCACTAGAGGAGTTATTATAACTCCTTGAAAATTATTGTGCAATAATTAACTTTGGATGTTATAAGAAAGCAAACTGGATATCCAGGGTGTGACTGGAAGTATAAAGATTCAAATAAGCAGATTTACTTAGGAGCGAGTCAAAACGAACATGAAAGTGATCGAATGGATGGATACAGCAAAGAGTGGTTACTTACATCGGCTGTTCAGTTTCTCAATTCCCGTAGTCAACCTATTTGGACTTGTGCACTTATAAAAACTCGCCAGCCCAAGGTGGTTGATGGGTCTTGGAGGCTAGAAGCTATCAACCTACAATCACTTAACATCAAGCTCTGAATTCTGACAACAAACACGCATTTAAGCCATTTGCCCCTGAATTAAATCACCCGTAACCACTCAATCAAGTAAGGTCAAAATGCAATACATACGTAAATTCTGTGAAATCTGCTTTCCTCACTAAGTCGTGGCTCCGAATTGAGAAATAGCCCTTATAGAGTCACTCAAACGATGGATATTTCATTTGGTGATAAAAACGGAGACACGAAGACCATCAAAATACCTTTCCGATGGCTAGGCCTCAAGGAAATGCATCCCTCGTAATGCAGGTGACAGGAACAAGTCATAGCCTTATGTTTTGCTGACTGAAAGCCGGTAAGTAAACTGGAAAATCATTTTGATGAAAACTATTTGTCCTGCAATTAACTCTTATTAGCCCCTTAATCCTATGTGCCGACATACTAATTTCCCATATTTATGTTGAGCCTCTTCCACCGAAGATGAACCCCGATCGGGTTAAAAAAAAAAAACTAAAACAAAGAGTCAAAACATCATTTTCACTAGACCTCTCATTTCATAAAGAGGACGCCTTACAAAGAAAGTTTACTGATATCCATGATGTAGACCTCAAACAGATGCGTGCCCTTAATGCTAGTTCGACAAAAGTAATCCTTAATACAAACACTTTTAAAACAGCGAGTTGACACATAGCTGATGACTGCCGGACGTCTTGGTTGAGCGTTAAGCCGCTACCAATGGAGCGGTAATTAATGAACAAGTACATTGATCACGCAATTTGACATGAGCAATGTCAAAATCGTATTTAAGGTACGCCATTTGACCGTTTTGCACGTTTTTTTTTTTCAAGTTTTCATTCTTCTTTTTCATTGCAGTACGTGAGACACAACTACATCTGGACATGCCGGCATCTTTACACAGCGCAATGCTCCTGATTAGATGACGCATTAGAAGTAATTATCGTTTCCTTCGTTTCCGCATATCTAACTAAATATTTCTGAAAAGAAATTTGTTATATATGCCCGTCAATCATTTTAAACTGTGTCCTCCATCAGGTTGATAAACTGGTTTGTTGGTGCTAAAGCTTGAGAGGCAAGGCTGGACATTTCGTATCGGTGAGTTTTGGGATCAGTTTGGTACCTTCGCATCTTTTGTTTAAGCAGTCAACATAACAGCGTTGATTACCTTTAGACTGGTATTTTTTACTCTCTTTTTTTGAAAACTCAACAGATCGATGTATTTGTTTGAATTGAAATCCGCCAATGGTAACCTTTTTGCACAGGAGAAAAGTGTCCTTTGACGTAGCACTCGGAGCCACGTTTTCGACACGTTCTGATTGACCGTGTTATTTGGATACAATCACTCA